GTAAAAGAGCTGCCAGGAGGATTGTTTCTTTGTGTAATAAGTGTGATTTCAGGAAGTGACACAACTTGTCATTGTTTCCGTCTTTTCCTAATGCTTTAGCTATGGTGAGAAAGTCAGCTTCTTATCTAGAGAATACATGCAACCAAGCAAAAGCTTCTCAGTACTTTCATCGTACATATTCTACTGCAAGTTGCATTCTTTACCTGGCACCAAGCTGAGGTTGCACCCTCCACACCCTGATTTCTCCCTGTCCATCTGGTAAGAAAAAAAAATCCACAAAACAGAAATAAAGCAAACAAATAATTCAAAAATACTGCCTGAAAAAATAAAACAGTTGTTTAAAATTGCAAAGAATTTGTAATAAAACATTAATTTTGCTTTTTCTTGTGTATCTACAAGTATTGATATTTTGTCATCATAAAAAAGTATTAAGCTACCCTAGAAAAAAGGTAAGCATGTGGTACAATTTATCCATAGTTCACAATACCAATGAACCAGAGATAGGTAAGTGACTTAAGATTATGAGGACTTTTATTTTTAGTGAGACTGTACACGTCCTTGGAGGTGGCTATTTAACACTACACCCTAGTATTCCTGCCCTCTTCATTTCTCTGCCCCACACTCCAGCATCTATCCCACATGTGGAATGGAGTCAGCTCTGAACTTATTAATGAATGAATAAAAATGAATAAGTAATGGTAGAAATATAGGCCTCCAGTGTCCTGTGGTCCTGCAATTGTGTCCCATAGCCACTCCTTAGTAACAGGGACACACTGATCATTTGAAGTATGTCATGGTGTTGGAAAAAATGGGAGGTAAGATTGGAAGAACATAGAAGTCATTCACTTGATAACAAGGAAGCACGATCTCATATTTAATGCCATGTCTAGATTAGAAAGAGCAAATTCATCCTGTGCATCTTAATCAGCCAGTGTAGCCATTATATTTGCTAATAAAACCTTTTATCTTTTCAGTGAGCATTGGCTTAAATATTGAGACACCTTATAATCTTTTCCTTGAGAATCACTGATCTGAAAATCTGGTTTATGTACTGAATGAAGACTATATCAGTGCTCAGTATCCTTCTGTGATTTATAATCAGAGAAAAAAATTGGCTAGCTATTTTTTGAAACTTAGTGGTGCAATATAAGTTCTCAAACATTAGGATGTTTTCTAAAATTTTAAAGCACTTTAATAGACAATACCTCATTGAATATCCAAGAGAAAACTTAAGTTCAGAGAGGTTCAGTGACTTGTCCAAAAACATAAAGCCAAGGTAGCACCTTGGGGGGGAGGGGGCATGGGGCGGTGGTGGAAGAGGTGGGGAAGAAGAGAATTAAATCCAAATACTTCTCATTTCACTGTTGTCAGTCACCTGTGGCCAGGTATGGAAGAGCTGAGGTTACCTTCTATGTTTATAAGTGAAATCCACACTAATGTACCAAGAATGTTCGAGGAAATAGAGGATTTATAAGGCATGAGAGACTGTCATGGTCCTAGAGCAAGGAAAGTTCAGTGGATGGAGAAATAAAGTTGGCCATACAGTCTGAGGAGCTGATGATGTGACATCAGAATATCTAATTTTAAAGTGTGAGAGTTTTTCCTTCTTCATAATTTCCCTGTATATAATATTACATATTATACACATACAATATTATATATTAAATCAAAGGAGTATTATGTTCATCTTATTCAAATTTTGCACCAAGTTTAAAGTAAACTTCTTCCTTATTGACTATTGGAAGTCAATATTTGAACATACCTATGTCTGTTTTAGAATAGCTCATGCAGTCAGTCAGCACCATAATTGCTTTTACCCTATGATCTAAGATATCATTTTTGTTGCGACTTGTTTTACTACTGTTACCATATATTTCTACAAGTTACTTCAACGAATGGGTATAATGAAATAAATAATATGGTGTCTTCCATGAATCATCTCACTTAATCTCACAATGGCTTTCTAGATGGGAACTTTCTCTGTGTCCATTTCACACAGGAGAAAACGGTAGCTCAAGGAATTTAAGTGGCTAAGAGTAAAAGTGAGGAAGTGGTAGAGCCAAGTTCAAAGCCAGGCAAGGTGACCTAGCAAAAGGTTTCCGTGTTTGATCCCAGGCTGGAGCCTCTAGCTTGGATGGTAACATGTCACTCAAAGAATTGCTATCTCACTCTGGCCAAGACCTGACTAGTGTACAAATTGTGCAAAAATATTTGTAGCCGAATTGCAATGTTTGAAGCTCTACCAAATGTTTAGTTACGCTAAACTTTAGATTTTCGTTAGCCACTCTTTATTTTTTTAAATAGTACTATTTAAAATTAGCATACATTTAAAAAGTGCTTTGTCTTTTTCAGGAAATAGTGAGATAAAATATTTAATAATCCTAACAAAGTTCAAAACCACAAAGCACAGAATAAGCAACTGGAAATCACAGCTCATTGGCTGGTAGAACTATGAGACCTCGACGACCACTTAGTTAATAGAGGCGTAAATGAAGTCTGAGAGAAGTCAAATGACTCGCCACAAGGGCAGACGGCGTGATGATCTCATAACCAACATCAGAAACCAGAGGCTTTTCACTTCAATGCTCTTGCTACGAATGCAGCCACTGACTTAGTAAAAATGCAAAACTGTTCTTTCTGTATCTGACTGAATGGCATTCATCATATCTTTTTACATTATGTCATGTACTATTCCAGACTTTCACAAGTCTTTCAGGTTATTAGGAAGCAAATATTCTTCAATAAGCTACAAGGTATAATTTTCAAAACAAAACAATATCGGGCCGGCCCGGTGGCGCACTGCTACAGTGTGCCGCTTGGGAGCGTGGTGGCGCTCCTGCCGAGGGTTCGGATCCCACATACAGACCTGTTCCCGCTCACTGGCTGAGCGAGGTGCGGGCGCAACGCCGAGGGTTGCGATCCCGTTGCCGGTCCGGTACGGGCGCAACACTGAGGGTTGCAATCCGTTGCCGGACATGAAAAAAGACAAAAAGGAAAAAAAAAACAAAAACAAAACAAAACAATATCTAATCAACTCTTTCTTGAATTGTGCCATATGGTCCTCTAACCTCTATGTATACATATAGTTGATATTCAAGATTTTGGCCTGTTTAGAGTAGACAACAAGGAATCAAGCCTTTAGTATTTAAAAGAATGGTTCTACTTCTATAGACATAAAAGTGGAACAAGAAACAAGTAAAAAGGGGCACCAGAGTGAGAGACAATTTTCCTCTTGTAATTTTAGAATTGGCTACTAGAGCCAAACCTAAACACTATTAGGACATTTTTTAATACTTGGAGTGATTACTCTTAAAAAACAAAACTCAACTGTTAAATGAGTAGTCTATATTTTAAAATTCTTTCTTTCTCTTTTTGGTGCATTTTAGTGATGGAAGCAGCTATAAAAAAGAATTACTTGTGTTTCAATTCGATATCTAAGTGGTCACTGAGACAGGAAACCCTTGTAACCCCCACCGATTTCTTGGTCTTTGTCTTGAGTTAGCATTTCCATATTTTAGATACGAGATCCCTTGTAATTAAACGTGGTTTTTATAACACATGATACAAATTATACTGGTGGAGTGAAGGTGCCTGGTTTTATCACAATTGCCTAATTTGACCACCATATTTTATATAATGCATTTCATATGCTGAAAGTTAATATTTTGCTGTGATTGGTAAGAAACGTCATAGTTATAACTCCTTTCTTTGAATTAATTTCAATATCGGTCATTTAAAGTTCTTTTCTATATGTGAATACTTTACAGATGATGAATCTACTAAGTGTCTGTTTTTGATACTCTTGTACATCTTTCCATTAATATTATTTTTTCTGAGTTTCTTCTCCTTTTGTTTTTGAATATCTTCCTAAACAAAGTAACACATGTAGTAAAATAAGTTACAGACTTTTTTTTAGTTGAGGTCTTACAATACATTCTAGACATGATTTCTTTCTGCACATTACTACAAATAATGATATGGAAAGGTTTAGAGAACTGTATTGCATTTTTACTATCCCCAGGACTCTACTGTGGTCATATTTTGCTTGTCATTGTTTCCTAAAAGGAAAGGAAGAGAAATCAGTTTGTGTAATCAGAGGGTTTAGGTATTAGAGTTTCAGTGTTTTAGCATATTAAGTAAAGGCTGGAACTCTCTCTTCCTCTTCCTCCGTCCACACACACATGCACAAGCACACACACACGTGTATGCACACACTACACAACAGATGACACTCTCCTCGCAACTATGTTTTACAGCAAATCTGTTTTCAAAAATGATTTCAAAATGGCAATGCATTATTGAAAAATAAGTATTACAATTATAGAGTTAACATTCACTTAAAATACTCTTTGAGTTGTAAAAATTAATTTTGATTTAACCTTTCAGAATAACGTTGTTATGTAAAACAAGGCACATCTGTGTTTTAATAGTCATTTGTGCTTGTTACATTTTATTTTTAATATTTAAAAAATTTTACCTTCTTATTTTTTACTTTTAGAAATACAACTTCAGTGAAGTTCATTACACTTTCTGACTCATTTCTCTGATCTAACAAAATGTGGCCAAATGGCTCGGCTAAAGTAGGAGGCAACCATTGTCTGGAAACTAAATGTTCAAATTACACTCTGTCTCCCTCTCTGATGAATTGATGAATGAGGATCCAGTGAAAGACATCACATGAACACAATTTCCCAAACAATCTATCTGGACAGACATGGCTTTGACTCAGGGAGGCAAAGCCAAACTCAACATTCCAATCTCAACTATGTGTTTATAGAACATTGGAAACACTGGTCCCTCTTTTTTGAGTCATGAGGCATGAAAGAATATATTTTGACAACTAGAATACTACTTTTTGGAAGAATGTCAATGAAATCTGAGTTTTTGGAATAAAGCTATGTTGTATGTGGATTATTCAGGTTGCTGAGCTTTAAAGCATAACTGAAGACCTGGGATTCTCATGCGATTACAAGATTAAAGTGAGATAAATTGGCACTCACAGTTGTGGCAGGTGGCCCCACTGTATCCCGTCTCATCGCAACTGCATTTGAAGCTGTCCCACGTTTGCGAACATTTCCCACCGTGCTCACAGTGATTGGGCACACATCTGTCAGAGAAAGAGACGAACAGAAATAAACCAACAAACAAATGAGATTTATGAGTGGCCAGATTCCAAGCTGTCCGTGCAATATATCATTCCAATGCCAGGTTGCCTTACCAAGGCAATTAATCCTTGTTAGTTTAAGCAGATTAATATGATCCATGATGGAAGGTGTCAAGCACACAAAAGATGATGTATCACAGGCCCAGTTCTTCCCATTTTTGAGTAAACAGTAGATGCTAACAAACAGTTGAGGGATTCATTTGCATATCAGAGGTTCATTTTATTTTCCTTTTACCCCAAAACAAAGACGCTAGCTAAATTTTCTCCTGGTGAGAGATGAAAGATAAGCTCTTTTGTTTCCTGTCCTATTCTGTTCTTTAGCAAGGCCAATTCCAAATTAGAAGGGGTAACACTGAGTTTTTCAAAGCAACTTGAGTTTTTGAAATAATACCTTGGCAACAGCAATGAAAATATACTAACTTGATAAGAAAAGATTGCTATGTCTCCCAAATACTCCCCCCACCTCCATACCCAGCTGGATAATTAAAGCTGCCTACTTAAAGAGGAAACAAGCACAATACAGGGGAAAAAAATACAGGTTTTGTGTTCAAATCTGTGTTACCTTTTATTAGATAGCTAATTGTGGTTACTTAATTTAATCTTTCTTACCCTTAATTTTCTCTTATGAAAAATGGGGGTAATTATGCTCATATTACAAAAGTCTTAAGGTTTGGAGAGAATGTTTCATGAATCAGATAATTAATAGGTAGGAAATAGAGGGGCAATAAATGGGAATGCTAGGTATCTGGACCACATTTTTTCAGGGCACAATATCATAGCATGATTGTACCTTACCAATAGTAAAGTTAAATTTATTCTGGAATACTCCTGTTTCAATAGCACAAACTTTTTTTTTTTTTCCTAGTCCCATCCCTTTATCCTTCCCTTTAGTTCCTCTCTCCAACTTCCCACAACCTGATTCTACAATCCTGGTTAAGACGCTCACAGATAACAAAGGTATTGATTGTAATGTATTAGCATTCAGAAAGGATGTCTTGATTTTAATAGGAAACTCTCAAATATAGAAAAGTCCCTTCAGATTAAAACAGCAGAACCTGTGAGAGGGGGTGAGAGGCAATGGGCTGATAAGAGAACCACGCTGGCTCTATTACTGCCCTGGTAGCTTCCTGCTACAAAATCTGATGCAGCTGGCCTCAGAGGCAGCATTGCCCAACCCCTCTTCTTGATTTACCATCCGCCAAGCTTAAAGCCACTTGCAGCAGGGCATAGCTCAGATGGCAGGGAACTCTTTGGTGCTATATAGGTGTGTTATCTCTCCACAGCTCTTTACAAACTTTTACTACGCAACAAACATTTATTGTGCATTTGCTATATACACAACACCATGGACAATAGAAGAAGATTGTATTTATAGCCTTTGAAGAACTTATAGCCTATGAAAGTAGACACATTGTGTATAAGAAATATAACATGAGGTGGAAATGAAAAATGGCAAACTGCAGGGACAAATAAAATACTACAGAATTTCACATTAGGAATCACATGTAAATTCTAGGCACAATTAAAAGTTTTTAGGTTGCACCTCAATGAGTGGAAAGGATTATAAGAGAAGAAAATGAGAGGAAGAGCATTAATGGGTGAAAATACAATATAAGCAAAGTCACGATGTTGGATATCATGATGAAAAACTCACCCTAAATTTAATAAACACTGAATTTTTGTAGAATTTGGGCTTAGTGTTATCAAGGCTATAAATATAGTTTTTATAAAAAGATATTATATTCTAGGTGGAGGTGGGGTAGGAGATAAGATTCATGCAAAATACATTAGCAGGAAGAATTTTATAAGTCAGAAGACAGACATGAAATGCTATAGAAATTTGGATAATAGAGGAGTTATGGGCGAAGGATAACTGAAGGGCTTAACAAAGTTGAGAACATTTCACCTGGGCCTTAAAAGACAAGTTACATGTATATTAATAAAATGTTTAAAATTCTCCCCAGTAGAGTAGATGAGAAAATCAATGACAAGGAGGTAGAGCAGTGAGCATTGGGTGGTCCAGGGTTCTTAGGGTCCCATTCCTGTGGCCACTATGCTATACTTGTAAAGACTCTGAGGCTCAAGCCACAGCAGAAGGTATTTACATCAAGTAGGCCTGATTCCCCATATCATGGTAGAAAACAATGGGACAGACACTTAAAAATGACATGAAACTAAACATCTCTGACACTGAATTTTGTAATTCAGTACATATATGCGTTTGTGTGTTATATTTACATTCTAAATTATTACGGGTTAATATGAGCTCAGCCTAATAGTGAAAGTAATTTACATCACTCATTATATGAATTAATTCAGGAGACGTAATACAGAAGTGTATTGAATAGCAAAAGAAAACCAGGTTGGAATCCAAATGTGCTCTAAATAATGCACAAAGTAGAAAATCCACATCTCAATGATACAAAAGATTACTGTGCACGTACACACATGAGAAGCATATAACCATCAAATGAAATAATCTGAATACTTCCAAAATTCAGTATTAAGGATTTCTTTAAAAGTGATTTTTTTTATTTAAATGGAATTTTGATATTTTATTTTTAATGTTTGTTTCCTGTAATATATATTTTTAAAATTGACATTCTCCTCATGCTGATTATTGGCATTCTAATTCCTAATGGTGGGAAATGTTTTATTTCTAAATCAAGTTTATTCAAATGTAATTTCAAACCCTAAGGTCTTATCACCATATTTCTAAAAGATGATGATGTTAGAACCAGTTATCAAGCAAAACAAAATATAAACTAACCTAGCTGCCCCCTTCCTAATTATTTATTTATTCCTGTGTTCCCATAGAGCCATTTGCATATGGTCAATGTGCTATGATCACATTGCTTACTAATTATTTGTTGGAGCATATCTCTTCTAAATGGAGACTCCTGCCCTTAGGGATTTCTAGCTGATGATTCTTCACATAACAAGGTGTCTGTCACACGCTCAGTAAATGCCTATGGACAGACAACTGAAGGACAGAGGGAATGCAAGGCAGGAAAGTGATGCCACTAAGGAATTGAAATAACTTCAGAGGAACTTCCATTTCACTGTGAGAAATATTGATTGTTTTCATCCACGATTTTAGTCTTAAATTGAGACACTTGCTCTAATAAACTAATTTTTTTAGCAGACCTCAAGAAATGTACAAATGTACTTCATGACATGTCATAGCTTGAAAGTTTGATACGCATTAAAAATAAATCAAAATGACTCGACTGCTTCCACTTAGGAATGACTTGATCAGGATCAGGAACATACAGGGGAGAAGGTGGCAGGTATCAATTTGTTGTGACCGAAGGATTCCCGAGGAAGTGATGCATCCATTTAACTCTGACTCCAGAAAGCCCTGTCTGTCTCTTTCAGCCAGAATCATCCTTTCAGTAGCGGCTTTTCAAAATGCTTTAGAATCAAAATATATGTTTTTCAAGTGAAATATATTTGTACCCCAACACATAAGACAGACAAAAGCTATTCTTTGAAAGTTCAAATGTATAGCAATTACTTAATATAAAAGGAGTCGACATGGCCGGTAACTGTTTGGATGGATGCAACAATTTAATCCAGGGTTATGGATGACAGTTGCAGTTTTATTTTACCCATAGCTGTTCTTTTATTTCTGTACTTCATTTTCATTGCAAAGCACTGAGAAAATTGGGATTCGCAGATATAAGAAACTGCAAATGGTACCAGATTTGTTTGTTGTTTTGTAGCAGTTCACTTTGCAGTTTATGGATACTGCTTAATTAAACAGGGATAGCAGAAGAAATTTTATTTCAAATCTAAAAAATGTTAGCTAGACAGCATAACTGAATGCACTGGTAATCTTCACAGCACTTTGAAGGGACATTTCCCCCCCTCTACATTGTTTAAAAGTTAAAATAGTTATTTATAAATAAAATTCCATTCAAATCTTTATGTTACCTTTAAAACTACATTTGGTTCTGTAGAACCCAATACAAAAACCATAGATTGTCAACACCATGACTCCAGAAATTCACATGGAAATATGCTCATGTGGTACCAAATAACAATTAACACGAAAATGTTTATTAGAATAGCTTGCTGTTGCGTATAACCTGAGCTCCTGGTGCTTAAAAGCAGTGTTTCTCAAATGTACTTTTATGTGCATAGGAATCATTTGAAAATCTTATTAAAAGGAAGATTCTGATTCTTGAGGTCTGGGTGGAATGTGAGATTCTGGAATTCTAACAAGCTCCCAGGTGATGCTTCCATGACTGGGCAGAGGACCGCAGTTGGATTAACAAGGCTCTAGAGCATTGCAGTTCTCTGCAGTGGGGGCTCAAAGAGAAACAGCCCAAGAAGGGAGTAGAAGGAGGGGGGACAGCATGTGGCAAGGACAAATTTGATCTATTCAATCATATCTGTTAAGACTACTTTTTTTCATAGGCCCTCCTACCATTTTTGATATCTATTCAGGGTGACATATAATAATCTCCTAATCACATTTAGTAAGTAAAATCATTTCAGAACCTGACTGTAGACTTTATATAATTCATAGAGAGGGATTGCTGAATATAAAACCTTTCATTTCACCTTAAAATCAAGTTCAATGTTCTCAATGTCAAAGTCAGTTAAGATTTCCCCCCTGCCTAGTTCTCATAAGATACCAGTGCTAGAATATTTAATTTGCTTTTAGATTAATGCAAATTTTGCATCTGGACATTAAAATATGCCTAGTTCTAAACTTTATAAAGGAAAAGACTGCTTCTGGGTTATCAATAGGTTATTTTGTTAACTACTGAAAAATTATTTAATACAGTTTATAAGTTACCATCCCAGTATAAATTACCGATTGAATTTATGATTTTTCCCTTTATCTCAGCACCAAATTTTAGTTTTTCTTTTTAAGATACAAAATTCATTTAGAATGTTT